GGGGGGGGGGGGGGGGGGGTGGGGGGTTGGTGAGATGGTGATTGCTAGGGATGAGTGATCGTGGTTATCAATGTACCAAATTTTAAATATATTTTTTGCCTTCTTTTTTTGTCTTTTCACTTTTCTTCCTGCATAAATAATTAGGTCATCTTGTAAAGAAGCAGAAGGTGTAGACGGAAGGATTAGGCTGTTTTTCCTGCTTGTTTTCCTTGCAGAATTCTAAATCAATTATTATGGTTTTTCATCTATTTTCCCACAACTAAGAGGCAAAAATGAGTTGTCCAGATACTCGACCAGAAATGATTTGTGCTTCTTCTCTCTATCTCCTTCCTGTTGTCATATAATGGAATGCATTTAGTTAGGTTAGACTCGTTAAAAAGTAAACAGAAAAAAATAAGGCCAATGCTCTCAAGTTTAACGATTTAAAATGTTATTCATTTAGGAGCGAGTACGATTTCACAACACTGGTCCATCATGGGTTCCTGGTATCATCATGATGAGCATTGAAGATGGCCATGAAGGTGTTCCGGGGTTATCTCAGCTGGATCCCATGTGCGATAACTTTACACTTTTATGTAATACACTGATTCCAGTAATATGGTTAGAGTATAATATTAATGTTTTGTTTCTTGCAGCTATTCATATATTGCTGTCATTGTCAACGTGTGCCCAACTGAGGTCTCATTTGCTAGCCCTGCATTACGGGCAAGAAAATTTCAATTGCATCCGATACAGGTGCACGTTTCTCTTTGGTAATTGTTTAGGAAATGTAATTTTGAACTTGAGCCAGATTGGCTTCTCAGTTGAGATTTCCAGTTGACATCTAAATTTTTAGATGTATTTCCAGTTAACATCTCAGAAAATTTTGTGTGAAATCCTGTCTGAGCTGCTTTTTCAGAGCTTCTAAATGGCTGTTCTTTGTTAGTGATAGTAAGGTCTCATTTATCTGTGTATCAGTGCACTATATTATTGTATTGTTGACCCCCGCCCACCCACAAGAAAATGCTTCTGACTGCTGACAAGTAGCCAGGAGAGAATTGAAAATCTAAAATCCCTTAATAGGTTGGAGTTGGCTATGAGAGAATTAATGGTGTATCCTCCGCTTCTCTTCTCTCTTGACAATTATCAGGCCAGGCCAGAGCAATACACGGTTAGACTAAGCTATTAGGAAATTGTTCCATTGACCACCTGAAGTCATCCATCATGAAGTTGCCTCCACAATCCCTGCATGGTCTACTCATCTAGCTGTATGACATTTGAGTCACATTTTTAGTCAACTATCGTTGGTTATGTTACTTCGAATTTTGGTGCAGATGGTGTCAAGCGATAACATTGTCAAGAACTCAACATACGATGCTTCTTCTGGGTGCTTCACAGTGCCTGCAAGGACCACTTCAGTATTTGTTGAACCTCGAAACATCTGAGTTATGCTTGTGCTCTCAAAAATACCAAGCGGATATGCTCAAGGCAATAAAGCAATCGAGTGAGATGGTCAAATGATCAGATGGTAAATTCCTCAAAATGTACAATACTCCTTCGTTCAAAGGGGTTCATCCTAACCCCCGCAGAAGTAAAATGGCAAATGACTGGGATAATATGCTTCAGGATCTTGGGTTGTTCTTGAGGAGGTGCAGTAACTAAAATAATTTCTTTCTTCATGGATGATTGGTGTTGCAAATGGAAAACCAGAAATGGCTTTGGAGAAATTCAAAAATAAACTTCTGCAACCCCATCGAGAATGGAGCTTGAAGTGGAGACTTGTGAAAATGTATAGCAGTGTAACCTTTTTTTTAGTTATCTTGATAATATGTTTGTACTTTGTTGACCTATCTTCTCCCTTTCTGCGTTTGACTGAGATTCAAATTTTTTTTCTCTTATATATAAGTGATTTCATAAAAAATAAATTTAAAAAGGTAAAGTACACTGACACCCCTTGTATATTGGTCTAATTATAGAGACACCTCAGTTTTTTAAAATTACACTGACACCCCCCTTAGGTCTTGTCCCTTAACAAATATAACAAAAAATGCGATTTTTCATAATTATCGTTATTATATATTTTTTTTCTTATTTATCATCTTCTGATATATTTAAATACTAATAAATGGATTAGTTTTGGGTTTAACTTGAAATTGACACTATCAACTTGTTTATTTAGTCGTGTTAAACTTTCACTATCCTCTAGTTTATATGTTAATATGAACAATACGAAATTGATACAATCAATATGTTTAATTGATATTATAAAAATAAAATATTATTTGTTGTTGTTTAATAAGCAATGAAATATTATTGTATAAGAAAGATATTTTTAATTATTATTTTTATGTTTATTAAGTTAATTTTTAGTTTATNGAAGTGGAGACTTGTGAAAATGTATAGCAGTGTAACTTTTTTTTTAGTTATCTTGATAATATGTTTGTAGTTTGTTGACCTATCTTCTCCCTTTCTGCGTTTGACTGAGATTCAAATTATGTATTGGTTATATTTAAGTGATTTCATAAAAAATAAATTTAAAAAGGTAAAGTACACTGACACCCCTTGTAGATTGGTCTAATTATAGAGACACCTCAGTTTTTTAAAATTACACTGACACCCCCCTTAGGTCTTGTCCCTTAACAAATATAACAAAAAATGCGATTTTTCATAATTATCGTTACTATATATTTTTTTTTCTTATTTATCATCTTTTGATATATTTAAATACTAATAAATGGATTAGTTTTGGGTTTAACTTGAAATTGACACTATCAACTTGTTTATTTAGTCGTGTTAAATTTTCACTATCCTCTAGTTTATGTTAATATGAACAATACGAAATTGATACAATCAACATGTTTAATTGATATTATAAAAATAAAATATTATTTGTTGTTGTTTAATAAGCAATGAAATATTATTGTATAAGAAAGATATTTTTAATTATTATTTTTATGTTTATTAAGTTAATTTTTAGTTTATAGAAAAAGTATAAGCATGAATTCAATTCAGTGATAATAGAATATGAACACACCCACACGGGTAGTTCAATGGTGTGGAGTTAAACCCAGATCAATTGTCTCATTGGTGTTTCTTGGCTATAATTGATACCTTTGGTTTGCGGGTGATTGTAGGTATCCAGAATTTATTCTCGCAGGGATGAGTCTAAAGTGACTTTGCCTTGGAGATGTTCTACAATATTAAAAAAAAACACGAATACGATTACGATATGAAAATAAATAGGTTAGCCTAATTTTGTTTAGGGGTAATATGGCTATTAAAATATAAAAAATTGATGATGTAACCATTTTTTTGACATTGTCAATAACGATGCTAACCATAAGGGTACCTTGTAAAATGGGTAAGTAAATAATAATGGGTGTCAGTGTAATNTTTTCACTATCCTCTAGTTTATGTTAATATGAACAATACGAAATTGATACAATCAACATGTTTAATTGATATTATAAAAATAAAATATTATTTGTTGTTGTTTAATAAGCAATGAAATATTATTGTTTAAGAAAGATATTTTTAATTATTATTTTTATGTTTATTAAGTTAATTTTTAGTTTATAGAAAAAGTATAAGCATGAATTCAATTCAGTGATAATAGAATATGAACACACCCACACGGGTAGTTCAACGGTGTGGAGTTAAACCCAGATCAATTGTCTCATTGGTGTTTCTCGGCTATAATTGATACCTTTGGTTTGCGGGTGATTGTAGGTATCCAGAATTTATTCTCGCAGGAATGAGTCTAAAGTGACGTTGCCTTGGAGATGTTCTACGATATTAAAAAAAAAAACACGAATACGATTACGATATAAAAATAAATAGGTTAGCTTAATTTTGTTTAGGGGTAATATGGGTATTAAAGTATAAAAAATTGATGATGTAACCATTTTTTTGACATTGTCAATAACGATGCTAACCATAAGGGTACCTTGTAAAATGGGTAAGTAAATAATAATGGGTGTCAGTGTAATTTCAAAAAATTGAGGTGTCTCCGTAATTAGACCAATCTATGTGGGTGTCAATATAATTTACCCAATTTAAAAGCTTTCGTAACCAGTGGATTGGATTTGTTGTTTTTATCAAAATTTCATTGGATGGACCCAAATGTGAACAGTTGGCTTCCATTGATTTTTTTTTTGATATAAATCATTAGATCACTATTTTTATCATATTTTTTTCATAACAAGTTTGTGATTATTGTCTAAATATGAATAATATGAAAGGAAAACAGTTGCATACACATTGCAGGATCCAACAATGTTAGCATCTGAGAATATTTTGGTAGTTGAATNTGGTGTGGAGTTAAACCCAGATCAATTGTCTCATTGGTGTTTCTCGGCTATAATTGATACCTTTGGTTTGCGGGTGATTGTAGGTATCCAGAATTTATTCTCGCAGGAATGAGTCTAAAGTGACGTTGCCTTGGAGATGTTCTACGATATTAAAAAAAAAAACACGAATACGATTACGATATAAAAATAAATAGGTTAGCTTAATTTTGTTTAGGGGTAATATGGGTATTAAAGTATAAAAAATTGATGATGTAACCATTTTTTTGACATTGTCAATAACGATGCTAACCATAAGGGTACCTTGTAAAATGGGTAAGTAAATAATAATGGGTGTCAGTGTAATTTCAAAAAATTGAGGTGTCTCCGTAATTAGACCAATCTATGTGGGTGTCAATATAATTTACCCAATTTAAAAGCTTTCGTAACCAGTGGATTGGATTTGTTGTTTTTATCAAAATTTCATTGGATGGACCCAAATGTGAACAGTTGGCTTCCATTGATTTTTTTTTTGATATAAATCATTAGATCACTATTTTTATCATATTTCTTTTCATAAAAAGTTTGTGATTATTGTCTAAATATGAATAATATGAAAGGAAAACAGTTACATACACATTGCAGGATCCAACAATGTTAGCATCTGAGAATATTTTGGTAGTTGAATAAGTATCTGTGAGAGACGTTGAGAGTTGTTAGGGATTTAGATTGCTCTGTTTCCCATAGTTTTTAGGAGTTTTTCTTGCTTATTAGTTGTTGATGTTTAGGGAAAGTTGTTTATTTCTGTTAGAATTGTTCTATTTATTGTAACCTCTTGAGATAGAATAGATAGGTAGAAACTTGTTTCTTAGCACTTGTGTTGATGAGGCTCAAGGTTTCTCTCAAAGAAAACCTACCTCATTCTTCTTTCTTCTTCTCTGTTTTCCACCACCTCTACTCATTTACTTCCATCCCTAACCAGCAAAAAAGGGAACACAAATGAGTAAAACCAGTCCACCACCAGCTCTCAAAACCCATCACACAATCAGTTACGACTGAACATAACAAGTTGGTATCAGAGCCAAGCATGGAACAGCAGCGGTTGGGACGCTTGGAGATGGAGGTCGGTTCTTTAAATTCCGGACAAGAAAGAATCCTTATAGAGATGCAATAGATGTTTGTCGTAATGAATGCTAGATTTGACCACATCACTACCAATCAAGCTCCTGGATCAGGGGAGAGTTATCTCAGCCAAAATCAGAATACTGATGCCAAAATCATCAGTAATGGAGGTACCAACCGAGAAGGCTCCACCACTCAGTATGTACCTAAGTTATTAAAGCTGGATTTTCCACGCTNGCACCTCGACTCATTTACTTCCATCCCTAACCAGCAAAATAGGGAACACAAATGAGTAAAACCAGTCCACCACCAACTCTCAAAACCCATCACACAATCAGTTACGACTGAACATAACAAGTTGGTATCAGAGCCAAGCATGGAACAGCAGCGGTTGGGACGCTTGGAGATGGAGGTCGGTTCTTTAAATTCCGGACAAGAAAGAATCCTTATAGAGATGCAATAGATGTTTGTCGTAATGAATGCTAGATTTGACCACATCACTACCAATCAAGCTCCTGGATCGGGGGAGAGTTATCTCAGCCAAAATCAGAATACTGATGCCAAAATCATCAGTAATGGAGGTACCAACCGAGAAGGCTCCACCACTCAGTTTGTACCTAAGTTATTAAAGCTGGATTTTCCACGCTTCACTGGGACAGAGGACTCGACAAGCTGGATTTGCCGGGCTGACCAGTTCTTTGAGTTCCACCAAATGGCAGAAGAGGAGAAGGTGCCAGTAGCTTCTTTCAATCTGGAAGGCAATTTGCAATTTGTGGAAACCCATTATTGAAGGAGGAGACTCCCATCATCACCTAAGAAACTTTCAAACTGGGTCTCCACAGTAGATATGAACCAACCCAAAATCAAAATTTCTTTAGTGATCTCACGAAGCTGCACCAAACTGTTTGGTAAGGGACTACCAGACCCAATTTGAGATGTTGTTGATACAAGCTGGGAGGTTAATGCCAGCACAACAGGTGGGCTGTTTTGTAAGCGGATTGAAGGAGACTATCAAAACAGATGTACAAGTCTGCAAA